AACTGAAATCAATCACAAAACTGAAATAAAAAGCAGCAACTGTGAACAGTGAGAAAAAATCCATAGGAGAAAATTCAAGAAAGACATTCCTCCTGGAGTTAGAAGATTTAGGCGTTTAGATATTCATGGCAAACAGGCTGGACATCAGAAACCAGTGCAAGTACATCTTCCTGTTAAACCTAATGGGGTGCCCTGGACATTTCTGTGCCTACAGTTGGTATTCCCTTTTATTGTGTCCAGTATTCTGAACGTGTTGGATATAAATGTTTATAAAGGTTTAATTTCTCTACCTTTTAATACAATGGTGGAGGGGGAAGTGGGAAGATGTGTTTTTAACCAAATCTTGACATACTAAAAGAGACATTATTTTTTTTCTCTAAGATACAGTACCACATATGCATAAATAAAAGTGCCTTAAACTTTTCAAAAACAGAGAAACAAAAGGAAAGGAGTGATCAGTGAGGAAGGGTGGCCATGTGCCAACTCATACTCTGCAGAGTCTTTGGTAACGTTCCTAAACTAAACTTATTTTAAAATGGAAAGAAAGATAAAGCCAATTGTGAATAACTATATGTGTGAATACAGCTTAAAAACAATAAAAACATTGCATGTTAGACTTTTCAAGTCAGAGGCTGACATCGAAACAGGGTATAACTTCATGAGAATGAGGAAGCTGAGGAATAGGTAAAGGGAGCTTTCAAAATAGCAGGGAGAACTTAGAGCTCTTGTACATTGTGTAATTACAGGAAATTTAACCAATTCGTCGTGGAGTAGGGACAACTGATACCTGAGTGACAAATCAGTAATTGAGAGCCTTGTAAACAACACGTATTCGGATATAAATGAGCAACAGAGAGTCTTCTGTCTTCAAGGATTTGACAATACTCTTGGGGAAATAGAAAGCCCTTGACCAGGTAGGCATCGAATGTGATAGACTCAAATAGTTGTCAGCCCTGAGTGCGTCAAAGGCCCTTCCTCATGAATCTGAGATTTAAGATGAATTCTTAAACCTACATGACGAGCTGGAGTAGTCACATGCACATATGTCGGGTGGGTGGGGGCACTTAGAGGGGAGAGAGCTTTTGTGGAGAAGCAAAGATGCTGGAAAAAGGGTGGAGCCCTTCCCTGTGGCTAAACCGGTGAGAAGTAAGAGAGGTCCAGATGAGCGCCGCCACACGAAGACTTTGTTTAGAGACCAGGAGTTTGGAACCTGTGGGGCAAGGGGAGGTATGAAAGGATAAAGCTGAAGAACTTTATCATCTTACTTGCCAGTATCAACTGTTTTTTATCATAAACTAGTATTTGTCAATATTTTCTGCATCTATTGAGATGATCATGTGATCTTTGTCCATTTTATTAATATGGTACCACATAGCGATCAGTAATTATATATTGAACCAATCTTGCATTCCAGGGATAAACCCCAGCGATACATGATTTGTGTATGGTTTTATTTTTCATAATATATATTTGTTCTTATAAATTATTGTATTCAACTTGCTAGTTATTTTATCAAGATTTTTATGTCTAAAAGTATAAAAAATACTTGCCCATAGTTTTATTTGTATATCTTCAGATAATACCAACCTCATAGAATAAATTGTGACTTACACTCTCCTCTCATTTTTTTTGAAAGTGTTCTTATTAACTCTCCTTTAAAGTGTAGTAGAATCCAGCAATGAAGCCATCAGACACTGAATTCTTCTTTATGGACAGTTTGGTTTTTAAATAATCACTTCTAGACTGTCCCACTCTGGGTGATCATTTCTAAGGAGAGTCTTTTCAGTTGTTACAGGACTGATCAAGTTTTTTATTTCTTTTTGAGTAAGTTTTAGTAGTTTGTGTCTTTCTAGGAATTTGTCCATTTCCACTCAAGTTATGTGACTTATTGGCATGCGGTTATTCTTAGTATTCTCTTATAGTCTTTTTTTTATTTCTATAAAGTCAGTTACTTATAACCCCCCTTCATTCCGGATTTTAGTAATTTTAGCCTTCTCTCTGTTTCCAGACTACTTAACAATTTATTAATTCTATTGGTATTTCAAAGAACCAATTTTTTACTTGTCTTCTTTCTTAAAAAAAATTTAATATTAATTTTTGTTGTAATTTCCACTCTACATGTAATTGTACATATCTGTGAGGTACAGTGTGGTTTTTGCAAAACACATACACAATGTGTACTGATCAAATCAGAGCAATAACAGATCCACCATCTGCAATACTTACTGTTACTTTATGTTGAACACGTTCAAAACCCATTCTTCTGTCAGCACACCGATGCACCCCAGATGCACCTCCACTGCTCTGAGGTTCAAGCCCTTCCAGGGAGTTTGACCAACTGATAGCAAGGCAATGAGAGGAAATATGGAAAATGCCTCCCCACACAATCCTCTTTTCCTTTCTTCACGCTGTGTGGCGGTGGGTCTCTGGTTGTCTCCTCCTGGGTGGGTATCAGGTGCTGACAGTGATGAAGGAGGGTCAGAAATCAGAGGACACGGCCTCAGGCCTGTCCAGTTGCTCATCTTCCGGATGGAGATCTATGGTCAGGTGCCCCAATCTGTGGTCTCCCTTCAGAAGTCCCTACCTCCAGTCTTCCCCAGACTCAGCAGATTGTTACAAAAACTTAAGCAAGTTCATTTCATTTTTCAACTAGTTTTTGTGCCAGATTTGTTAAATTAGGGGTCCATTTCCCACTGAACTGAAAATGCCACATTTGTCATTTGTCAAAATCTCATATTCTCTAAGATATTTATGTCAGGATTTTTGTTTCTAATGTTTTCTGCTTGTCTACTCCTATGTGAATAAAATGTTTATTTGATTACAGTAGCTGTCATTATAATGGGATGACATCCTCCATCCATGTATGTTTTCTTCTAATAATTATTTAATTTTATTGTTTTGCTCATTTATTTTAATATGACCAGAGAGAGAGAGAGGGAAACAAGCCACCACTTCTGAGACTCGAACTGCCATCTGCCGTGTGAGAGTCCAGAGCCTTAACCACCACACCACCTGCCGGACCTGTATGTTTCCTTGGTTGCCAGGTTTTTCACTTGTACTTTTCACACCCCCACCTTATATTAAGGGCACAACTTTTTGTTTGTTTTTGTTCTGTCTCCCTCATCTACAGTAGTAATCTGAGTGCAAGGGTGAGAATAACTGAGTGTGTGTTACACAGACTCTGCTGAAGTTAAAGACTTCTTTTCATAGTAAATCTATATTTATTTTTGGGGGGAGGAATTTGTGGATTTCTGTTCAAGTTCAAGTATCAGTTATAGAAGTTTATAGTATGATAGAAAATTAAATTCATTCTCAAAATTTTGGCAGAAACTCCAATGATGGAAAGAGTAAATGTGAAGTACACTCACATTCATCAGAATGAGACAGACTGTCTCACTCTGGGTGACCATTTCTAAGGAATCACGTCATTCTGTGGTGCTTCTCTTGTCCTCTAGCCTTTGCTAACTTCTTTATAAATGCTCACTCTAAACTAATTTGTGATCTCGGAAAATAAAGGAGAGGTGTATGATCTAGTTTAGGGCATGGAGAAGCCAATTTGAAGATGGCAAAGCAGGGCAAGTTGACATAAGTCACGTGAGCACCAGGGTATAGTGGTAGAAGATGGAAACATGCCTTGTGGATTCCTAGAGAGTATTAGGTAAGGAGGGCACAGTAGAAAATGGATAGACATCACCTAGTATTTTATCTGTGCAACAAGAACTTTTTTGCCTGAATAGGATTGCACAAGTCTCAGAAATCTCGGTTGTTCATAATTTCTATCAACATATAATGAAAGACAAATACATGGTGGTTTATTTAGGTCGTGGGAGGGTTGAGAAGGCGGCTCAAACTTTTCAGGGAAAATAAGAAAGGGAGATGTCATGAAGGTGGACCAAGTCTAGCTTCAACATCATCTTTAAACTTTCACCAAATAATGAAATTCATTCCAGTATTATTAGAAATTATAGTGGTATTTTCCAAGACAAAATGAATGAAAATTCTGCACAAACATGAGAGAATTGAAAGTTTTATTATAGTAACGATAAGCAAATGATCCAACTGGGTGAGGGCAGAAGCCGAACACTCAAAGTGTAGCTCTATGGAGGTGGGGTTGCAGCAGTCAGTTTGTTCCTCAAGAAAAGACCCACGGTTATTTATCTCATTGGTTAAATTGAGGTTCCTCAGAGTTTGCAATAATCGACAGGATTAAACCAAGTATTGTTCTATTGTCTGTTGAACTGATTGTTCTTTTTCTCTCTTTTGACATCTGGGGATCACTGTGTAGTTCAGTTCTGAGACATCTATTTTCAAAAACATCTTTGTTCTTCAAAGAGCAAAATATAGGAAATGATTTGAGTCCTTATGTTAAAACATAATTAGACAAATTGTCATTCATCTAGAAAGAATGCTACAACTATCTCTATTAGATTACTTAATACAAAAAGATAAATCAGTCTAAGAACCTATATGGGTTAGATGATCACTGTGTTCCTAAAGGCAAAATAAATGAGAAGAAGCTACAGGGGAAGATTATCTGCCAATCTTGAAAGAATCTTGAGGAAAAATTCTAAATAAAGATTAGGAGATACAGCTTGGCGTCATCTTCTTTGGTCTCCTACGTTCCTTTTATGTCTGAGGAAAAATTCTCAAGGGAGCAAATATCAGTACTTTTTTCTTTTTTTAGATTTTCTTACTTTTTTAACATTTAATCAGTTTCAAAAATTATGGATTTATCCCTCTCCTGTTTATTCAAACAAGTACAGATTGACAAAAATGAAGTCCGGCACACTTCCTGGACCTGGGAAACAAACTAGAGCACCCTGGCTTTGATTAATGA